AGCTTCCAATCACCATCGAGCCATCTAGGTGATGGCGATCACCAAGAGTAACAAGCACAAACTCTCGCTTGATCAAGATAAGCCTAATGAGAAAGGTGGATGCACACTTGCTACTCCCTATGCACTAATGAGGTCCTTAATCTTGGATTATCAAATCTCAATCACCCCACTAGGCTCTTGCTCTCCCTTGCACTCCAAAGGTGTTTCTCAGCTGAACAAATGGGCAAGAGAGCTAAGTTGGATGAGTAGGAGAAGTATATATACTCCCCACTTTAAAACATAACCGTTATTGTCCAACTCAGCAGTTTTTGGGGTGACCGGACGCACCGGTCGAAATGACCGGACGCATCCGGTCAGTAGCCAACGGCTATGTGGCGTCAGCCTATCAGGGAAGGCTGTTGGAGTGACCTGACGCTGACCAGCGTCCGGCCAACATCCACCGAACATGTTGGGTCAGGAATTTTGGTCTCTAGACCCTCTCTGATGTTGACTTGACGCTCCCAAGCTCAGCGTCCGATCATTTACTGTTCAGCGTCTGGTCCTCCCTGATAGCGAGGCCCTACTGCTATAGATACGACTAGAGGCGTGTCCAGTCGCTCCTTGGCTTCTGCTGTGCGCGCTGATCACTGACCGGACGCAACACATGTGAGTCCAGTCATCACTAAAACAGCGTCCGGTCAATTTGACCCTCCATTCACTTTCAATTCAAAATCCTTTGTGAATGAGGTTGAAACCAATTGATCTTTGGGCTATTCCTGAGCTACCTAGTGCTAAGTTTGACAAGTGTGCACCACACCTAACCCATTAGACTCACCTAGGTCAAACTACTAGTTCATACCCCCCTTAATAGTATGGCCAAATGAAAAACAAAGTTCTAAACTACTCTAAGTGTCTCTCCAACGCCAAACGACACTTAGAACTAGTCCGTCCTTAACCTTGTCGTCCATCCTTTGAAAATCAAAACGATTTCCATTGATAGGGGCATGAAAACCATAATTGCCCAAACAATCATCATTACCATGACCTAACTCAAGTTGCCTCTGCAAAACACACATTAGTCACAGTAATCTCATGTCGTCATTAATCACCAAAACCCAACTAGGGGCCTAGATGCTTTCAGCCACCACCTAGATGGCTCGGTGGTGATTGGAACCTTGGTGATCATCCGGCGGAGCTTGTGGATGACCCAAGTCATGGTGTGAGCGGCTGTGGGCGATTCACCACAATGGAGTGTCGAAGAATCAGCCCATAGAGAGTAGTTGATCCTTGCACGGATCAAGGGGGAGCTACACCCTTGTGTGGGTGCTCCAATGAGGACTAGTGGGGAGTGGCAACTCTCCAATACCTCAAAAAACATCACCGCGGTTCTTTCTCTCTCTTTACTTTGAGCATTTACATTTGAGCAATTCAATTTGTGTCTTTATATTCTTAGAATTGCCATGCTAGAGTAGCATTGGAACCTAGGGTGCAAAACTTTTGTGCGTAGAACAATAGAAACACTAGTAGGCACAAGGGGGTGAAATGGGCTAAGTGTAGGGCTTAATTATTGTAAGAAATTTAGAATTAGCCCAATTCAACCCCCCCCCCTCTTGGGCATCTTGATCCTTTCAGGGAGGACATCGGCTCCTCACGGGAAAGGGCCACCCGAAAAAGGATTGCTTGAAAGGAGGTGCCAAGGAGGGGACAGCTCGGGAGGAGGCACCATTGGGAAGGTGACATCGAGCTTTTGGGAGGCAACATCACTAGCCATGCCATGTTTGACGGGCAGTGGCGCCTTTGAGCATGCAACACGGCTTATGGGAGAGCTCCAAAGCAGGCACTTGTGAGATCTCTGACATGGGGTTGGCTAGTGGCTAAGCCCCGACACCGAGCTCTGGCGACGACAGCAAATTGGCAACGAGCTCTGGGATGGATTTGCACTCTAGGCCGAATCAAGGTCCATGGCAATCGGTGGTGCGTGACAACGAACTAGGGATAGAAGAAGGTGAAAAGGCGGATGACATGTGTGCCATCCATTCCCTGCCTCCTCAATCCCTCCTACCAAACATAAAATTGGGATGACCCTATGCTATCAACCAAACAAGAAAATGTGACCATCTCGTCTCATAGAACTGGAATGGCAACGTCCTATTCCACCTTGTCTCCAACCAAACGCAAAGTTAAAGGTCTCATGTCTCATGTCTCAGTAACTTCATATATGGAAGCTAGGCTACCATGTTAGTGAAATAGGACTCCTGCAAGTTTTTTTAAAAAATGAATTGAACTCTATCCCTAATCTTTGACTACTTCAAGAAGTCTCCAATAAGTTAAAGTTTTATCTCCAAGAAGTCACCTTTAAACAATACCAAGAAATACTACTTCAAAAATCTAGGGTGTGTTTGGTAGCGCACTGCAAGCCGCTCCGCGAGCACCTTCATGTGAGCGCCAACCAAACACCCCCTCGTTGTTCCGCTTCCCCGAAGAATCTCTGCGAATCACGCTAAGAGGGGCGAGGAGAAGCCAAAATAGTAGCTTTGGTCGGCTCTCTCTTGATCCTATGGGTCCAGCGTATAGATGACCAACGGGCCGGCACGGGCCCGTGCTAGCATGACCCGATAGCCAACGGGCCGGCATGGCACGCCATGCCTCTCGGGCCGTGCCTCACAAGGCCACGGGCCTGGCCTTCGGCCCAGGCATGGCACTATGGGCCAATTTCTGTGCCGGGCCAGCCCGCGAAGCACGACCAATTTTCACAGGCCGTGCCAGCCCGAGGCCCAATGCTGCCAACAGAGAGAGAGGGGGGAAGGGGGTCCACGCCGCTCGCCGCCGAGGAGGTCGACGCCGGATCCGGAGGAGGCCAGCGCGCTCGCCACCGAGGAGGCTGACACCCTCGAAGCTGGATCCGAAGGAGCCGCTCGAGGTCAGCCACCACGCTCGTCATCCCTGGATCCGGTCGCGCCCGCCCTCGATCCACCGCCAGGGACGCCACCACCCTAGATCCGCTGCTGGAGGCTGAGCACGCCCTGGATCCACCGCTAGGGGATGCCACCACCCTTGATCCGCTGCCGGAGCACGGGCATGCCCTGCATCCGCCACCAGTGAGCGCGCCCACCCTCGATCCACCGCCGGGGAGCGCTACACGCCTCCTCGCGCGTGGATCTCGTCGTCCTCCGCCTCCTCGCACCGGATCTCGCGAAGCCGCCGGATCCGGATCTTGTCGGGCTGCAAGCTCGGTGGATGCGCCGCCTGCTCCTGGCCGTACCACCGCCCCTCGAGAACCACACGTCGCCACTCCTCGAGGACCGCGCGCCGCTGCTCTAGGGCCATGTGACGTCACTGCCATGGAAGAGAAGGGAGCCGAGCGGACTAGAGGAGGGAGAGGGAGGGATGGAGGCGAGCGCACCAGAGAAGGGAGAGGGAGGGTGGCCAGCACACGGCGAGGGAGAGGGAAGGAGGGAGGGAGGCCAACGCACGGAGGGAGATGGCTGCGTGCAGGAGGGAGACGGCCGCGCGTGAGGGAGACACCGCCACACGGAGAAGAGGCTAGAGGCGAGAGGGAGCGGGTAGGATTTAGGGTTCGGGGTGAGTGTGAGGCGGCAGGGGAGGCGGGGGAAGGCAACAGGCGAGAGGGAGCTGGCCAGCTGGGCTGAATGTCACCCTACCCTGGCCTGGGGGTGCAGCCGCGAGCGGTTGGCAGGCCGGGCCACCTGTTCTGTAGCAGGCCGTGCCGTGCCGGCCCACGTGACTAGGGTAAGGCCGAGGCATAGCCTGCTCCTCTGGGCCGGGCCATGCTTGGGCCGGGCCAAAAAAACGGGCCGACGGGCTCGGGCTGCATGGCCAACTATAGTCCAATGCGTGGGAGATGGCCGTTTTACCCCAGCACAGGCAAGCCCCGGCGGCGCGGCGCAACGGCGACGTGGTTGGGAAGAGGAAGCTCCGAGCACCATGTGGGGCTACGCGTGCTCGTGGTTTAGCAATGATGCCCAGCAAAAACGCAGAGCACGCGCGGGATCCATGACACCTAATCCCCCACTTTTTTTTGCTGGGCATGGCTGCTAATCCACGAGCAGGCGCAACCTCAAGTGGTGCCTGGAGCTTCCTCTTGCCGGCCCGCGTCGCCGTCTGCTAGCTTGCCTACGTCGGGGCTCTTCCTAGCCAACACACCACGCCACGCTGGGCTTGCCTACGCTGTGGCAAATCGGACATCTCCCACCACCGGACCCATACAACCAAGAGGGAGTCGGTCAAAGCCACTATTTTCAACTTTTCCTCTCTTGCCCCTCAGCGTACGTAGAGATTCTTCGACGAAGTGGAGCGACAGGGGGTGTTTGGTTGACGCTCACGTGAAGCTGCTCGCAGAGCACTATCAAACACGCCCTGTATTGTACGTAACTTTAGACCTAATAGCCCTTTAATCCAATACAAAATCACTATAATTTCAAATTTGAGATATTCTTTTTTAAAACAAAATGACGATGACCTATACCGCCACATGCAAGGTGAATATGAGTTGCGATGTCCATGTGAGTTGCATGACACCAAACCAGCAGTTCCGAACTGCTTACCGCAGCTACACCAGCTATAGTTAGAGCAGCGAACAGCTGTGGAGCTGCAGCCTTCGTGGGGCCACAGCCCGCATCTGGTCGAACCGAACTCAATACAGCATCCAGAAGCTTTAGCGTCTTCCAATAGAAACAATCCCTTATGTATTTATCTTAAATCGTAGACCATTTGCTGTAACGTGTGCGGTTACATCCATCAGAATACCATATCAACAGAATCAAGAAATGTGAACTCCAAAATATACATTCTCCATTGAGGAGTGCACTGCAAACTGATAGACATGAAAGTACAAACTGATGGCGGTGTTGTCGCTCAGTACATTGTTCAGACCACATCTTCCAAGTACGAAACATGTCATAGATGTTTATCCAATGGGCACGAATGGTTAGCATGCTTAGTCCTTGGTTGAGGGAAAGGCTTGAAATACAGGTAATGTTGTCCATGATCTTCACACCTTCCTAATGCTCTTTCTTTCCGTGCTCTTTCCTTATTTCCCACAGCTGCTCCCCAACTTCCTTCATGGTCGGGCGGTCGTCCCGTGTCGGAGCTGCACATTGGAAAGCCAGGCTAAGGAGCTTTTCAAGCACCTCATCGTCCACATGATCTACCAGCAACGGGTCCAATATCTCTCTCATGTTGCCTTCATTGAATTTCTTGAAAGTCTGCAAAAAAGCACAAACACAAAGCCACATTCACTCAGCTGTTTCATCAGAAAATATCAAAAGACAAATGATCTCATTATAAAAGGTAATAATATAAAAAAGGGGATCCATTTTTCAACCCGGGAAACTGGGCTACCAGTTTGATTTTTCAACTATGAACTACAAAACCGCTCATTTTGCAACCCAAACTCACAAAAGTGGACTTATCCTACTACGACCACAGTAATGTTGGCCTCATTCTGTAGCTTAGTTGCATAAAAAACCATGGTCTTTTACATTTATAATAATTATTGTAAACCGGCAATTTGATCCAAGCATTCTATTTAGATCAATTTCACACATTGTATAAGCATAGACTGTGGAGAAACATGAAATGAAGGAAATTGCCCAGACATACCCATCTGATTGTGATCCTCTCGTCAGGGGTTCGCTTCAGTTCTACGGGTCTGCGAGCAGAAAGAATTTCTACAAGCAATATGCCAAATGACAAGACATCACTCTTTGGAGTTAGCTGGTACGTTCTCAAGTATTCAGGATCTAGGTACCCTGCTGTGCCTTTCACTTTCGTTGATATGTGTGTCTTCTCCGTGTCACTAGGGCCACTTCTTGCAAACTAAAAGTCGGACACCTTGGCCCGATAGCTATCTGTCAGCAGGATGTTTGATGACTTCACATCACGATGAATTATAGTCTTCTCTGTGAACAGTACAAATGGTCTCAGCCCCTTTCCAGAACATCACCAAATGAAATATGTTTGAAAAAAAAAATGGTTGGCATTGGGTATCATCAATGCAAAAAATTACCCAACTATGCTATATTTTAGGCCCTGTTTGGAAGCAAAGTATTTTTGTTGTTTTAGAAAAAAAAATACCATGGTTTTGTGAAATACTTTTTAATGCAACCCAATGATTGAATACAGGACTCCCAAAACATAGGAATAGGAAAAACACAAGATTGAAGTGCATGTCACATGCAATTCTAATCTCATTTGGATGCAACATAGGAAAAACACAGGAACTAGAAGAGAGAGAGAGGCACACAGGAAAGTTTAAGACACTAACCGATGTTACATCTCCTAAAACGTTCATATGGATTAAGCTAACAATAGGAAATTTGTAGGATTTTAGGATGGCCAATCCTTTGTTCCAAATGGGCTGCATAGGAAAAGCTCCTATAGGACTCCTATCCTAAAAAATTCCTTCACAAATCCTATGCTCTAAAGGGGACATCAATGGAATCAATATTTCTCCTAAATTAAATGTTTAACATCTCTAAAGAACTGGCCATTTTACTCCAAATCAAATAACTGGACAGACACACTACTCTATCCACCTGCTAGCCCATTTCAGAGGTAAACCATCTGATGAAATATAGACATCACTTCAATATTATATGCAATTATAAGCATCTTAGGTAGTAGAAAGTATACCTGCATACAGATGAAGATAAGTAAGTGCATGAGCCACGTCAATTGCAATTTCTAGGCGCTGATTAAAATCCAGGATTCTACCATGTTGACCTGCAGAATGGAGGAAGGCATGTAATATTTGAAGGTATTCAAATTGACCGAAAAGTGAAAAAAACAATATGGGAAGCACAATTTACCATCTAGATGTTCTCTAAGAGTACCATTTGGAACATACTCAGTGATGATAATGCGCTCATTTCCTTTATCAGTAAAACCCAGTAACCTCACCAAATTTCGGTGGTCTATCTTAGCAAGCAAGTCTACTTCATTGCTGAACTCATCCCTAGGACCTGCAAACTGATCCTGTAATGAACAGGAGAGCATATGTTATGCATAGCATAGTGGGGAAAAAAACAGCAGCACAACTTCAACAACACCCGAAAAAACAAAACTTTATTCATTGTTGCCAAAGGCAGACCAATTAGCAGAACTACATGAGCTATTGAGCTGAGGTACAAATATAGTTGCTAAGTATTTTACAAATTTATTAAAATATAGTGAAATAAATATGAAGAGACAACATAATTTGGCGAGGAATAAAATTTAACTCAATATACTGAAAAAGCCCATGAATGAGAATAATCAATGGAGTTTAATAAGTAACAAGTAATAAGACATGAGGTAGCACCAGACTACCTTTTTAGCTCTCTTGACTGCAACAACATTGCCGTCTGGCAATACAGCCCTGTAGACCATCCCAAATCCTCCTTCGCCTAACTTAAATGAAGATGAGAAGTTCTGAGTCGCCCTGAGGATCTGCTGGATGCTTAAGTTGACAGATCCAACTCTAGCTATCTGTGGAGACGGCGCAAATCTAGATGGACTTGGAGGTATTCGATGTGGAGTTGGTGGGACTTTCTCAGATGACATGCTTACTTCATAGGATGAAACTGATTCAACTGAGAATATACAACTTGTTGTTAAGGACAATGTTCCAACATTGTTACAACAAAAAAATAAAAAACTGAGACAATGTCATCAAAGCATACATGGTTTACATTATGGAAATGTGAAAATAGCACCAGACTAGCAATCAACAGTAAACCACTAAACCAGGACAGACCGACGGAGCTTGTCAAATCTGTTATGGATTATTCTATACCGATTCAAATAACCTAACCACAGCTGTTTAGGCATTTTTTGGGCAGTGGTCGTCTGTTTTTCTTAGTGTGTGGCGCTAAAAGTCCTGTAATTGGTTCTTGGAGGAGCAGCCTCTGCCTATCCTCCATTGTTTTTTATTCTCTTCTTAATAAAATGACTCGCAGCTCTCCTGCGTCGTTCAAGAAAAGAAGAACCTAACCACATGTCAGTCTCATCCAAGTAAGTACTGAGTTGGAATACAGTATACAGATGGACTACCATGAAAATGACTAAATGAGTATACTATTGAACTGTTAAAATAGTTTTGGTTGGTAAATTGTAAGTATCACTTATCTTAGAAAAACTGATGAAGTCATATGACAATTATGACTTAGTTTAATAACCATTCATGATAAGCTTCACAAATAACTAACAATAGTAAAATATAAATTATCCTAGTAGTGGTTGAAGTTATTCTACCCCTGATCTTTCATACACTATCACATGGAGTAAATCCTGATAAACATAACAGAGCTCTTTAAGGGCCAGTTTAGCAGGATTCTGGCTTCTACTAAAATAGCTTCAGCTCTAGAGCAGCTTCTCTAGTGGAGCTGAAGCAGTTTGTAAAAAATATAGGCAAAATGGCTTCGGAGAGTATTTTTTTAGACGAGGAGCTGGTAGAAGCTAAAATTTTTGGTTCCGGTTCCTAGTTCAAAACGTGGAGGCTCCAGCTCCTTGGTGGCTTCAGGGGTGAAGCCATTTTTTGGGACCCCATTAGGTTTTAGAAGGTCCAGCTCTTGAGAAGCCGGAGTGCTTTTAGAAGCCCTTCCATAGTCACATAAAATGGGGTGAAGGCATCAACCCTTGACCCGGGAACGTCGACCCCGACCCGGGTTCGTGGGGTCATTTTCGACCCTGCAGTGTAGCTACCACGTGCCTTGACCTTGTTCCTCGACCCTGTTGACCAAGAAACCATATGACTATGAGCCCTGCCAATGGGCCCTTAAAGCAAGATATGGCCTAGCCCTTATCAAAAGAGATAACCATGGTTATCAAGGCCATAAGGCGAGGCGTGGCGACTGGCTACCGTCTTACGCTTAAGCGACTAAAGAGTGAGCTGAGGTGACACCTTAAGAATTAAGGAAAACTTAAAACAGCATAGATGATGAAGAAAAAAGTAAAGGAAAAAGAAAAATAAAGGATGAGTAAGAAGAGGACTGGCCCAGCCCACTAGACAGCCCATGTGCCCCTCCCCCCTCCTGGCGTGGCTTCATCTAGAAATGTTTCCATCTCTCAAACTTCCGATCCCGATCCCCTCCAGCGCCGCCGCTCCCCTCTCTCGCGCATTCTCCACCATGCCGTTCCACCTCCTCCCAGATGCGCTGCTCTGCTTCCCTGCGCCCCGTCTCTCCAGATGCGCTGCTCCGCTTCCCTCTCTTCTCCGGATACACTGCTCTGCTTCCCTCCGCACCTCGCTGCTCAACGCTCTCAGATCGACAACCGCTGCTGTCCCCTTCCAGATCGAGCAATTGGCGAGCACGAGATGGAAGTAATCAAGCCAGGAGAACCAAAATCAAGCGGGAGATGGCATAATTGAGCGAGCCAGCAGAAGAATCAATGAGGAGACGGCAGAATCAAGGGGGCGTCAGCATGCGCACAAGGCAATGGGGCAACACCCTGCCCATAAGGCAACCCTGGAGCGCTCCGATGCTTAAGCAACGCTGAAGCGACACCTTAATAACCATGGAGATAACCAACTCGCAAAGCAACAATAGCACCATAAGGACTAATTTTTATTAACATATAGGTGAAAGACAATAAAAAAGGTAAACGAGTGAAAATAAACTAAACGTGCACCAGTCATTTTTTTCAAGGGAAGATTATCATAAAGCTCTCGTCCTAATCTAGTACAAGAAAACTCTCATGTAATAAGGACAAGCGAGCTAGGAAAAACTTTTGAAAATGCCCAGCTCAATATCCCGTACTCTGACTTCAGTAGGGCCCTGCCATAGACAACTATTGTTCGGTGTGTTCAGACTAAAGCCCCCCTTAAGTAGACAATGAAAATATTTTGTGTTCACTAAAAAATGAGGGGGCAGACAACAAGAATAGACTTGGCTGAAAGATTGCACAAAAGATAAACTCACCCGCATTGCGCTGAGCGGTTGCCGTGTCATGCCTGCTGACTTCTTTTGGTTCGGCATGAAAGCATGGGAACATAAGACCACAGCATAAGAGAATCACACCTGGCACAGCCAGGAGATGATCCTGCTTTTCTGAAGAATCACCAGTGTCCTGATTATTTTCATTCAACCCAATCCTCCCACATGGGTCATAATCATTTCTTGAGCCATTTTCTGTGGGCCGCCTCAAGAGCTTCCTTGGCACATCTTGATGTAAAGTTGCTACAGGTGATAATCTTGATGTAAAGTTGCTATACAGGTGATAACAAACCAAATGAGGAAAAATGAACAGCAAAACAATTTTTCTCATCCACATGTTACAATTTTAAAAATGTGCCAGCCTTACCAGAAAAAATGGAACCAAAATATTTTGGAAGGTCAGAATGCAGATGCTAAATCAGGGTACCAGAAAACTCACACATGGGCCGTATCATACTTGAGTTGTGAATTACAATGCCAACAAAAGAGAATGCAACTTAGAAATATATTTCATTACGTTGTCACCATCCTAATGTGCTGTCCAAACATAGTTGCACACTAGAGCATACAAACGGGAATATTATTTAGGTGGAATTAAACCCCACAGTAGGAGCCTAAAAGAGTTCCTTTCCCATCATCTACAATGCATAATAGAACGAAAACCATGCCTCGAAATAGCCTACGTTCTACAGTCTACACAACTGTTCCAGAGATGAACTTCATAGACATATCTTATTTACTACAAATCATGTATGGAATAAGTCAAATAACTGATGCAGGTATGAACACCAATTTGAACTGTTATTGTACTACAGTGGGGCAGCAATTGCCCAATCCTTATCTGATTTAGCAACTAGGAGCAAACAGGAACCAACCTACCATGGTGCGTTCCACTCCCTTCACCACAATACTGCTTTACGGCACCCCTCAACGGATCTGAAAGGTAGCTGCAGCGGATGCAGCCACTGGCAAAGTAGAAGCCGAGCTTATGGCAGGCAAGAACGCGGTCCTGCACCAGAACCCCATTGACCGACAGGTTAAGGAGGCCATCAGAAGCATCGAAGATGACAAGCTGGTCATCTCCACAAGCAGCTCGTGCAAGGGTTAGCTCCGACGAGGAAGCGAGAGCCAGAGGCGAGCAGCACAAGAGGACGAAGAGAACTTGGAGAAGAGCCAAAGGAGACATCGATGCTCAGGGGCGGATCTAGTAAAGGCACCCAATAATTTTACAAAAAAGTTAGAAGTTGGTAGGCATCAATCAAATAGCCAAATAGCTTGAGGTTAGAGTTTGGGAACTCAATTTCGAAAATGAAAAAGAGTTTGAGAACTCGGTTTCGCAAGCAGACGTCGAAGAGAAGGGGTGTGGGAATACCTGGTGGGCGCTCTTCGCCGGCGAAGAGATCGGCGAAGGCCTTGGCACCTGGCGTACGGCGGCGGCGGCGGCGGCGGTAGCCCACCCAGTAGTCGCAGAGAGAGAGAGAGAGCGCGCACGCACGGCGTGAAGATGACGGATGCGGCGGCGGCGGCTCCCGCCTAACTAGACCCGATCTGGGAAGAGGGAGGATCGATATGGACTGAGGCACTGTCGGCGATGTGAGCCAGGTGGCGGCGGCGGGGGCGAACGGACGAGACGAACACGAGGAAGGAGACGGAAACGACCAAACGAGAGACGTAGCGGTCAGTGGCGTGACCGCTTGAGATATTTGCTACTACTCCTGTTCCTGTTCCAAGTTGGACCTCAGAGAAACGAAAAAAGAAGAAGAGGAGGCTGCTACACAACAGTCGGTTGTTTTATTACCGTTCCATAACACCAGATTTTTTCAGGCTAGAGTGCTCCTGCGCGCGACGCCTCCCCCGCGCCCGACTCCTTTTTCAGCTCCGGCGACCGACGCCAGAGCCCGCGCCTGCGAGGAGGTAGGCAGCCTCCTCCTCCTCCACCACCAGAGACGAAGACCCTAAGGTTCCGGCGAGCCTCTCTCCCTCTTTTTTCCAACTCCGCCGAGTACAGAAGGGGCCGACCAGGGGAGGCAGGCAGGCCAGACAGTAGGGATGGTGGCTGGGCGGTTTATGGCCCTGGCAGCGATGGAGGCAGCCAGGCAAAGTCGAGGCAGGGTTGTCGCGGCCGTTCGCCGGAGTTGGAGAAGAAAGTAGCGGCGGGAGGTGGGGGAGGGAAAGAGGGAGGCCACCGTGGGCGCGGGCTTGGCCAGAGCTCCGCTGCCACGACCACGGCGGCGAAGCTCTGGCCAAGCCCTACGACGCCGCGGCGGGGCGGTGGCGGGGTGAGATGAAGAAGATGAACAGTAGAAGGGAAGAAAATTAGGTGTGCCCACACTCGGTTGTTTTGTAGACAAACTCAAAAAAAATAGTTAAAGCTTAAGACTATGAATCATATACATTGTTCTTAGATTTTATATTCTAATAAGAAGCTAAAAGTCCATCTCGACAAAATTTGCTACCTCGAGTCAGCTCATGACCGAGGAGAAAGAAAAACATACAAAATCAACAATAAAGCATGGTCAAATTACCAACACAGTTTTAAAGAAAAATAGAAGGAGAAGCTAATATAAATCAATATATACACGTACACATCTGGATCCATATACGCACTTTACATCAAACAAGGAAATGTTGTATACATATTGCCCGGGGAAGACTTGGTTAGGATTGGGAGTTAAGATAGTTGTACATTTCAATATCTAGTGGTGGATTGGATCTTAGCACACTACCCTATCAGGTTTGGCTAGGCTCGTGGTGGATTTTAGACTTCCCTTGTCGATGTGGTAGTGTTCGGTGGTTGCCTGGTGGTGCCCCAAGGCAGCAGTGGCATGTTGTTGCTCGGAGAGTAGCCATTGTGGCAACGTGGAGGAAAAAGATAGAGAGCACAGCGGAAAGAGTCCAGAAATCTTGAGCGACGATAGGTGTCTTTGTACTAGAAGGGCGGTGGGTGGCAATCTAACTTGGTTTCTACCTTATCTTGCTCTGTATATTGTTGCTAGGTGGGGCTAGTAGTGAACACACCCCATGGAAAATCTCTCCATGGACCCACACATACCAAAGGTCGTTGTTCGCCTTCACCATGCCTCGCTTGTAGGGCTCAACCTTGACTATCAGAGAGCTTCCTCTCACCCATGCATGCATGCGGATACCCGTCATGTGCTTTGGTGTCACGCATATTCTGCTAGCCTACATGCAATGGGCAATGAATAGGGAGGAACGGAGGCAGCACCAATGACAGAGCGAGAGGAGGAAGGGAGAGAGGGAGGTAGAGGTTGTCGATGGTCACTAAATGCTCAATCCGACCATCAACATGTCAATAAATTGAAGGTGAAATCAACATCAAAGTAGTATGTTGTTTTCGAATAACATGGTTCCACTTGTATTTGGAGAACACGTGTATACAGGGGAAAATGTGCAAATTCATCAAATAAGTGGCACCAAGAGCACGTGGAACAGAGGAGGCAGGTTAGGGGCCCACCTAGTGGGTCACCTAACTTGGCCCTCGCCCTTCACATCGCTAATCTGTAGCCCAAGTGAAGAAACACACTTTCCCTCAATCCTACACGTTGGTTCATTGTCGGTTGCATCTTGTGGTTGAATTCCGACATGCAATGCAGTTAAACAACATTATACCTGTCAACCACCATGGAGAAGCACCGAGAAGTGCAAGATTAAGAGGCGGTGAAATCAAGGGCCACCCGATCTTATAGGGTTCGACCGACAATAGGTAGGCAAACCACCTCTCCCCTCCACAAGGACCCCCTGCTCTTACATACTAAAAATACGGGTGTTGACGCCATATTCAGGACACACATCAAGAAGAAGTGGTATCACTCTCTTAGTAGCTTAGTGGCTAGGCTAGTTAGTGGGAGTTAGAGTTGAGTCTAGCTCTGTTCAGGATTTAGAAGTAGTCTTTAGTGTCTGGTATAGCTCTTGTACCTTTCTTCTTTTGTAAGATTTTACCTTATTTAATATATTACTTTCTATTTAATTTAAGTAATTCATTCAAGTCTTACTTAAATTAGTAGTGTTGATCTCTAGTTAAATCATAGTGTTATAATATAACTGCCTTGTTTAGTATAATTGGTTATCTCATAGCACGGGTTCTTCGTCCCTTAGTGGATGCTCTAGTTTGATTGTTTGCGTGGGATTATAGTGGTATCATATAGTGTAAGCGCGGTGCTTATACTATCAGGTACCTTGGTTTGCGGCTAGCCCCATAGATAGTTGTGGTAGTTAGCAATGTATTCCACCACATTCAAGCTAGTTCTCAAAACATAGGTTCAATTGTTGTTTACTTCTACCAATCCTTCTCACCCCTTTCCGTTGGTGTCTAGTTCATACCCCGAAGTCCTATCAGATCCTAACTTGCTATTTCTTGGCTTAGTTATATCGCTATAATCTCTGCCAGAGTTGTGTTACTAGTAGAAGTATACAAAGGATCTTTGTACTCGCTCATTGTCCTCCCACTAGCTACGCCCTTTATCTTAGAGTTCTCTTCTTGTCTTCTAGGCCACACTACCTTTATTTCTTTATCATTGTTACCCTTGTCTAGAGTAGGGACATTGTTTGTAGCTTAGTCATCGGTAATCGTCATATCAATCAATCATCTTAGCCATATGCTTTCCCTAAGGATATAAATACTATACCTAGAATACTCCCAAGTGAAGTGTTGCATTAATATTATGTGCGTTGTGGAATTGTCCATTTGAGAATGGGGGTAGGTCAAGCTAAACCAAAACAATCCGCGCTAGTAGCTCAAAGCAAGAAAACGTATGCTAGTGACTAAGGCATTCACTTGTTAAGGAAATGGCTATCAAGAACGAATTAACCCTTTATTCTTTTTTTTTAAGTATACCCCTCCCGGGGAAAGAAGAATAGGAAAAAAAAAAAGAATGATCAACAATAACGTTTACAAATAAATCCGCAAGTGTACAAATATCGATGTAGCTCACACGTACTTACAAGCTAGCATCTCAAGCATCGTGCTCTTGTCCTCTAAGGCTAGCGTCATACATCTCACCCCCTCCGATGGGGACCAAACACAAGGAGGTTGAGACAACCAAAGAAACCTTGAACCAAGGAGTTAGCCCTAGAATTCATACATCAAAATCCATACAAAACACAGAAATAGTTCTTCACTGATGCATATGACAACAAAGACCTAAAGAAGGATTCACATATATGGTAACAAAGATCACTCAGGCCACGAAGAACAAAAGGGGCTACTCCTGAGCAGCGTTGCCTTATGGCCCAATCCAAGCACTAGATGTTGCCTACTGAGGTAACATCAACCATTTACCTAGTTTTCGTGCCACATAGAGAGGGGCTTCCGTGTAGCGAACCTTGCACTGAAGTCCATCTTACTCCATGGTACATCATCTACTCACCAAGGATGAAGACGGAGGGAAGATGAAGGCCCCCACGAAAATAGGGGACCAACGAGGGCCCCTTGTGGCAGAAGGAGGCTTGTGACAATGACAATGAGAGCCGTCTAGATATGCCTCCCACAAAGGATGCATCCATCACGAAAGTGCACATGACGAGGGGAGAACCCACTAACACCACATCAGCAAGAGGCAAAATAAAACCTAGATTCTCAATAGCGTGGATATGACCCCCTCACGACGTTGTTCCAAATAGTAAAAAGGCTCTAGCAGGGATGGTGCTGACAAACTCGCCACCTCTTCCTCGTCTAGAGAAACCACGACGCCAACCTCTAAATCCCCACTGCTCCACTCAAATTTGTCGTGACATCACACTAACTAAAATCCCTCTAACTCCATGAGGACACAACCAACACCATGCAAAAGGAAAACCGCCGAGGTTCACATGGAAGGCACTCTCCCACTCAAAAAGTCCTCCCCATCCAAGGAAGAAGAAAGGCAGGGCTCAAAAGGTGGCTACAGAGGAGCTGACCCTAGATAATGAACGGAGACCCTCTCCTAATGAGGGCAATTTATAGGCTCAGATTTGGGCAATAGAAGCCAGAGAGGACCCTCGAATCAACCATGGACAACAGGATCTCCACGCCCCTTTAGTTCCATGAAAGGCCAAGCCGTACTGAACCCACACTCATGCTAGTGGTCTCATGATAGATTGGTGGACCAACCAAGTGCAACAATCACCCACCATGAACGAACCCACCATGGAGGGAAGAAACAACAAGCGATTATTGAATAAAGGAGG